CATATCAAAATTGGTTGATAAGTGGTTTGTTGTTCTAGTCCACATCGCAAGCAAGATTTTGGAATTTTGAAGCATATATAGTGGCTAATCGTGATCTTTGCCATAAGGATAAAAGCTTGTGGTCATAAATACTTCTAGGAATGAATTCAAATCATAAAAGAGTTATGAATCTTTTTCTATTAAAGGTGCAAACTAAGAGAGAGCACTTCCTGATAATAGTGCGCTTATGAATCCAACTTGGGTAAATCCATCAAGATATTGGAAAAGATACAACCTTAGATAGACCTTGACTTGTTGGAAAAATCCTCAAAATTTTGATCTTATTCTATCAAAATTCTCAAGCATATTAATCCTTATCCTTGTCATACTTGTAGAAGCAAAACTCCCTGGATTTGGTTGTGACATTGATCTACTTGCTTCTTTCAACTGCACAACTTCTTGCCACAGACTCTGAACTTCTTTCATAGGCATAAGCATAGTACTTCTATGATTCACATTGGAAATACATAAGATTTCTACTCTTAGAGTGTTAACAAGCTCATAAAGATGTGCCATAGTTGCAAATCTATTCTCACTTTCGTTGAGAGTAGCATCCATAATCTTTCCTTCCTTAGACAATCAAATGAATTCAAAAGTTAAATTAGAGGAAGGTAATCTGCAACCTCTAAAGAAAAATCTTACAAACAGAAATAATCCACTTTCTTTAAGGAAAAGATCAATATTAGAAAATAAGATTTTTTGTTTAAAGTTGGGTAGTCCGCAAGCTTCAAAACACAACAATAGAAGTGGAGTAATCTACTCACTTCTAAAATAAGATAGAAATAATATGTTAGCATTCTTGTCAAACTATTAAGGACATGAATCTTGAAAAAAGATATAATTTAATATACTCTTATATCATTAAAGAGAATTAGAAAGTCACTCAAAAGGTGATGAAATATTATCTAGAATGGCTATTGCCAAAAACAAGAAGACTAGAAAGTCTTCAAACAAGACTAAGACTAGAAAGGCATTGACAAGGGTAAAGAAGGCTTCACTCTTACCTATATATATATTATCTAATTAAGAGCTACATGGCAATGTCCTATTGGACATCCAACATTTGTTGACTTTGTTAGCCACATGTCTTATCTTACAAGGCAAGTTATCTATGTATGCGCCACATAATTGGCTTGTTCTATAAGCTACTACACGGAGATAACTTGTTCTACAAGCTACCATTACATGGTTAGCTTTTTGGCCAAGTTTCTAACCTACAAACACATCTAAAGGCAAAACCGCATCTATTAAGCTTCTAGGAAGCTTCTTTAGAAGACTTTATGAAATTATTTTATATTTACCTACTTCTACTTAATCATATAAGTAACTATTGAGGTAAATGTATATATCCATAACAAATATATGATATATGAATTATTTATAATGATAAGATTTACAAATCTAACTCCTCTTATATTTCTTCTAGTTTGGTTGTTCTAATCTTTTCAATTAGAGTTTAAAGAAATGACCTTATTTAAACTTTTACAATGATATAAAGATTGATTTTCTTTAAAATTAAAATATATGATTCAATTCTCAATCTAACATTAACATACTTCATGTGGCTTTTTATAAATAGGACAATGTATCATGTAATTTATTTAATTTGAAGAAAACTATAACTTATTTCTTTTAAATGATAAAAAGGCTTATAAGATTGAAATTATTTTTTTTCAATAAGTGGTTGTTGTAGAAATCATAAAAAAAAGTAGATTGTATGATTTACTTCTCTATAATTTTTCTAAAACTTAAAAAGATACTATTGATAGATTTTGAAATATTATTGAATATAAGGCTTTTATTCAAATGTATATAATTCATCTTAATAATCATTTTTTTTTGAATTTTTTTGAAATGATATTTAAAATTATTACTACTGATGAATTTATATTTGATAAAATTGTACAAACTTAAAAAAATTGACAATCAACTTATATAATATGACATTTATGGTTATCTTTTATCTTGAAATTTTTTTATTATTAATATATATATATATATATATATAAGATGGAAAAAATTAATTTTTTTGAAAGAATTTAAAATTATCAAGTCTATTAGGTTGAAGGTGATATCTAATAGAATTAGAAACTTAATGTCTATGAAGAAGTTAAATATTCATGGATGTAACACCTTAAAATAATTTTTAAGTAGATTGAAGAATTTGGTTTCATTGGAAGAATTGAATTTCTCAAAGTATACAAAGCTGAAGTAGTTGGCGGAAGGATTTAAAAGCTTGACATATTTGAAGAATCTAAAGAAGTGAAAATATTAGACTTTAGAATAGTTTCAAAATAGATTGGAGAATCTAATTTTATTAGAAGAATTATGATTCAAAAAGTATAGGAAGTGGAAAAAGTTCCTAGAAGGATTTGGAAGCTTGACATATTTGAAGAAGCTACACATGTAGAAATACAAGGATTTGGAAGAGTTTCTAAGTAGATTAGAGAATTTGGTTTTTTTAAAAGAATTAAATTCTTTAAAGTGTAGAAAATTGAAGAAGTTGCCAAAAGAATTTAGAAGCTTGATATGTTTGAAGAAGCTAATTATATAAGAATATGAAACTTTTAAAGAGTTTTCAAAGTAGATTGGAGAATCTAGTTTCATTGGAAGAATTAAATTTCTCAAAATATAGAAAGTTAAAGAAGTTATCAAAAGGATTTAAAAGCTTAACATGTTTGAAGAAGCTAAAGGTTTGGAAATGTGAGGCTTTAGAAGAGTTTTCAAGTTGATTAGATGATGTGGTTTTGTTTAAAATTAATTATTTAATTTAATTTAATTTAATTTAATTTAATCTTAGAAATTAAAGAAATTAGAAGGATTTAGAAGCTTGAAATAATTAATGAAGGTATTCATGTTTGAATGTTATGATTTAAAAGTCTTTCTAAATAGATTTTAGAATTTAGTTAAATAAGAAGAATGGAATTTCTTAGGATGTACAAACTTCAAGAAGTTGTCTAAAGTATTTAGAACATTGAAACATTTAAAGAAATCAATATGTTAAATTGTATGGCTTTGAGTGATTTCTAATTTAATTTAGACAATCTAATTATATTAGAAGAATTTTGGTTCTACTTTAACAAGATATTAAAGAAGCTTGTATAAAAGTTTAAAAGCTTAGCAATTCTAAAGAGGCCAAATATGTGTAAATATGATAGTATGGAAAAATTACTAAGTAAATTAAAAAAGATAGTTGGATTAAAAAAATTATATATCTTTTAAAGTAATAGATATATATATATAGATATATATATATATATATATATATAGTATTTAGAATATGACATGCTTAAAGAAGCTAAATATTTGGAAATTTGAGGATTAAAAGACATTCTAAGTAGATTAAAAACTATGCTTCCATTGGATGAATTATACTTTTATAAGAGCAAGAATATTAAAAATTTGCTAAAATTGTTTAAAAATTGATGTATTAGATGAATCTAAACATGTAGAATTATAAGACTTTAAAGAAGTTTCTTAATTTATTAAAAAAATATTTTTTAATTTAAAAAATAATTTTTTATATAGTGTATCAATTATAAATTAATTTTTCAAAATTTGATTGTAGGTTTAAGATTTAAGGTTTAAGATGTAACTTCTATTAGCATAGTCAATTTAATTGATTAGATTAATCAATAATTATAATTAATTAAATTAAGTAGAATAATATTTATTTAACTAATCAAATTTACTTATGAAGGTACCAAGTATTAAAAATTTATCAATCAAATACAATTATTTTTGAAGTTCCAATTTTAAAGTCACTTCATCTAAATATATTAAGTTAAGTTTATTAGCACATTATTCAATATATATTTTTTTCTTAGCTTTTATTATTTAGAAAAATAAGATCTAATATTAGATAAATTAGAATTATTTTTTGAAATCTCTTATTCATATGTGATAAATAAGATATAATTTGTATAACAATTAATCAAATTTGGAATTTTCAATAATTTTTTTAATATGTGTTTAAATATGTATTATTATTTTCAAAAATTATAATTAATTTAAAGTAGAAAAATATCGTGGTAATTAATTGACTTTTTGCAAAATTAAAACATAATGTTATTTGACTTGTTTGACTTTTATACATTAAGTCAAAAAAATGTATTTGTTATTAATGCAACAATTCATTTTTCAATTCTTATTCATAAAGTTATATTTTAGCACCTCAATGCTTCCATAATTTTCCAAAAATTGCTTATGGTAATCAAAATATACAATCAAAAGTGAAAGAATTATAAATTAATGTCATATAATTTAATTCTTTTATAATAGTTTTTTAAAAAAATGGTGTTGGCAAAAAGGATTATGCTTATTTTGTAGCGAAATAAAACATATAACCTAATGTTTTGCAACAAAGAGGCAAAACTTTTAAATATATAAATATATATATATATATAAGTCTACAAAAATAATGATAATAATAATTTTCTAAAAAATATGTGTTTGAAAAAAAATTATCCATCAAGGCAATTTAATTAGATTTTAGCACCCCATTATTTTGTAAAAGCTGCATATTATTTTTGTTCCCTCACTTTTATCTTTTTGGGACAATCATTTTTACAACATAGAAATTGTGTAATTTATACCTTTGCCTTCTTAGATTCCAAAACCTCTAATTTTTTTTTCTTCACAAACTCTATAGTAAATATCCAAACAATTACATATAAAAAAACATAAATGACCAATACTTGTATTCTGAAAATGTTATTCATTAAACTCATGAAACCATTCATGTAGGAATATTTATGCACGAAGATGTTACTCATGGGATATCTTGAAGCAGGATCCCCTCGCAATCTGCTTTGCTGTGCGTTCTGATTCACAGTTTACTACTTTACCCCCACACAGAACAACATAAATTTGGTAAAGAAGAATGCAGGGTTCGGAAAGAGCACAACGAACGGAGTCATGGGGACGAAATTCCCCACAAGGTTAGGGTGCTCTCGATGGTGCTCCGGAACATACCCATGTATGTAGACACATAAAACTAGCGTTTTCGCCTGCTCAAACTTCTCCTCGTTACTCACGAGAGCGAGTGGCAAAGTGCTGGAATCCGCAAATCGGTTTTTGAATCTGTGGGTTAGCCCTGCAGTGGTGAGTGGGAGAAAGCAATCAGGATGAGAGCTCAAGCATTGCAGCGATGGAGATCGGAAATGTTGCAAGCATATGGAAAGAACAGCAAGTTGGGGGCTCAGAAGACCCGCTTGTTTGTATCGTTAACAGAGAATCCAGCTCAGAAGCCTACTTTGGAGTTGTGGACATGGGGTAGGGGAGAGGCTGGTCAGCTTGGTCTGGGCAAAGAGAGCACCGAGCGGTCGCCCTCTCTGCTCATTTCTCTTCCTCAAAAAATTCGTCTCGCTCCCATGCCTGGTGTTCTTAATTCCGTCGAAATCCTAAGTTCTTCTCCTGTCAACTCTGAGATTCCAGTTAAATTAGGTCAATCTCAAAGCTTAGAGGTAGAGTCTGCGATTCGGAAAGCCACCGTAGTCAGGAGAGACAGCGGTGAGACAGACAGCACGAGCGGAGAGGCATTTGAGGAAGTTGGAATTTCTTGCGGATTATTTCATTCTTGTTTTTGGAAGAATGGAAAGCTTTGGCTATGGGGAAAAGGAGATGGTGGGCGTTTAGGTACTGGATCCGAGGTCTCCCTGTATAGTCCTCATTTGAGCCCGTTTCCATCAAGAGTGAAGAGCGTGGCACTCGGAGGGTTGCATTCCGCGGCTGTCACTGAGGACGGATATGTTTATACATTGTGAGGGTCTCTATTCTCTTATGGTTGTAGGATAGTTTTATTGGAACCAGACCTAATGGATTCGTTGAATGATGACGTTATCATGGAACTGCAGCAGTTTGCACTTGAAAATTTACGAGGTACAACGAAACATATTTAAGAGCCACTCATATTCTTCACTAATTTCTAGTACTGGTTAATGCAGTGGTTTTGGAGGTTTTGGTGCATTGGGCCATGGATCCTACGAGAAAGCTTTGAGTCCAAAGCTTGTGGATGGAAGCTCTGTAGGCATGAAAGATATTGTCCACATTGCGTGTGGGGGAGCTCATACCGCGGCAGTGTCTGCGTCTGGTAATATGCTGTACCTTAAACCCTTAACTAGATGTTCTTTTAGCAGTGCTGGTGGGCGATACGCTGTTACAGGTCAAAAATTCAGAGTAGTTCTTAGATGAAATATAAACATTCACATACTGCCATCCTTGCTCTGTTTTTTCCAGTAAAGAAGGCCTCCCCTAATTCTTCTCTAAGAGTTTGTTACAAAAGGAATCACTTAACCTATCATACTAAATATAATTCTCGTCATCCTTATTGGGCATCGGATTGCCTCGTTAAGAGTGCAAAGCAATTCTATAGCGAAACTCGGAGCGGTTGATTCGTGGGGAACCAAGCGTTTCTAGCTTTTAGAAGCCTTTTTTCAGATTACTTTTATATCTCATCTGGTCGGAATTGTGAAACAAAAGTGAAGCGGTTTTATGGATTGGAATTATGAAAGCAGTGGAGACTGCTTGCTGTCTCTAGGGCATGTTTATACATGGGGCAGAGACGAAGGCGAAGGAAGGCTCGGCTACATTCCTGGCCCTGAATATGAAGATGGAACATGTGTTCCCCTGCAAGTTCGTGGAATCTCAGACCCGATTGCGGCTGTAGCTTGTGGTGGCTTCTTCACCATGGCTTTGACCCCTGGGGGTCAGCTTTGGAGCTGGGGAGGTAAACCAGTCTCACAACGTCTTCACTATGCAAGTGTCAAACATTAATCGCGAACTTCATTACGTTAGGGTTCTCGACTCCCGCAGTATCCAAACCTTCTTGGTTCTGTTTTTGTTGTCATCCTTGAATCTCTTGCCAGTCTTGTGTGAGGCACCAGGAATCAGCCTTGTGCTGTGGTGAGCAACTCAGATGAGAGGGAGGCCATTACGTAATAAAAAGCAATAAGTTCTTCATGTTTACATTGGCAGGGAACAGCAATTATGAGCTAGGGATAGGAGACCGACGACCCAGCTGGAGACCGCGAATGGTTCCTGAAGTTGAAAATACACGACTTATTCAAGTGGCTTGTGGTGGCTATCATTCTGCGGCCATAACTGGTATGTCTTCTATCTTATTGTTACAGTGTTTCGGATTTTGAAGCCTATGTATAATTGGATCAATTGGGTGCATGTTCTGCTTGTTCTTAAAAGTTTGTAATTGTCTTGTAGTGCTTATCATGCATAAAATACTCGATCATCCAACTGCATGTGCAGTGTTTGTGTGCGTCCTTGTTCTTGAATTTCTGAGTTAGAAGTTGTTACAATTGTTATTATGGTACAGTGCTTTATTGGTTCTCTGTGATCTCATTTATCCGCCGGGGTTGGCAGAGGACGGAGAAGTGTTGACTTGGGGCCACGGTGGTCACGGACAGCTAGGACATGGTGATCTAGCAAATGTTAAAGCACCAAAAGTTGTAAAAATTCTTGAAGGACAGCGAGCAGTTTCGGTAGCCTGTGGAGGAGCTTGGACAACTGCCGTTACTGGTACTCTATGATTAACCTTTGAGTTTTTGTAAGAGTGTAGAGCTTTTAATCTTGTTTCAATACTTGTCTCTTCTCACTCCATCTCTTGGCCCACTTTACACTTCTGGTTGAAAGAACTGGAGAGCAGATCCTTAATTGTAGAAAATAAATACTTTGTCCGACACGAACGTGTTATCTGTAGGTGTGAAAAAAGTCGACGATAATGTTTACCATCTTTAATCTGGATGAATAGAACACAAGTCGTTCTACGAGCAATGAGCATACATGCTGTGTAGCAATTTGGCTTATGATAAACTTGATGCTGGTTCCATTGTGATTCAGTCACCTTGTTAGTCGTGGCTAATTAATAGCCCTAAACCATTCCGCTTTCTTTTTATTGCAGATTCGGGGAAGTTGTACACATGGGGAAAGAACCGAGATTGCCAACTTGGTGTTTCCGGGCTTATGGATACAGAAATGCTGCCTATCCTGGTCGAGTTGGATGCGGAGCCTAATGAATCACCAGAATCATCACGCCTTGCGATCGCAGTTGCTGCGGGAGCGCATCATGGCATGTCTCTTGTTCTACGCATTTGATACTGCAGCAATCGGGTCAAGGAATAAGTTACGCTTGTTGCGCGAACGGGTAACTTGGCCAGGTGATCATCGAACTCTGATGATCTTCTGCGACCCTGTCGGCTTGCAATTTTTTCTTTTTCTATTCCACACACACACACATATATATATATATATATATATATATATATATATATATTTTTTTTCTTTCTTTCTTTCTTTCTTTCTTTTTTGTAATGTTATCTTGAAAAGAGTTTTTTTTGTTTGGCATTTCAAGTTGAATTTACATATTGTGATGAATTCATGGTGCATGAAGCATCATGATTTTTTTCCCTGCTATGGCAGGATGCAGTATTTGCACGATCATAGTTTGGCTGTTGCATGATGACCAAGTATTCTGCAGCTGGTTACGACGAATAGTGTGCAACTTCTGAGCCCTTAATCGTTGTTCCCCATGTGACAGTAGGCAATAAACGGTTGGTCGAACATGAGGAAACTGCGTACATGAATCTCTATACAGGCAAGCTTTCTCAAAAAGTTCCACTTGACCAATGTGCTATTGCCATACCGTGGTCAGCAACATTGCTAACAGTTCCTTATAACACCCAGAACGGCCCTCCCGGGCAAAGGAGATGCAAGAATCGTTTTTTGGTTCTGGAGGCTGAGTTTTTTGTTTCTCTTTTATTTCCATCAAGGCTTTAAGGATTCTCGAACGTGTCAATGGATTGTTAAAGAGATTTCGTTTCAAGGCTGTGGACAGAAAAGAAACTTTTGAATGGCTTAGGAATGTAGATTCGCAGTGTGAGGGGCACCTCATGTACTATCTCTTGCGGTTTCGAATGAATTTGAGTATCCTTTATTTCCTCTTCAAGCGGCATGCTTCCTTAGGGATTGTTTGCTATTAAATTCCATAGCAGGGTAGTTCATACTTCTCTGAGCAGATCATGCACGGTTGCTAGTTGCTATATGCGAAAGTTTGTATGTGGGTGTCTAAGTTTCGCAACTTACACTTCAAGAATGCGAGGTATGCTAACTTTCATATACAGCAGCTAAAGCTTTGGAAGTAAAACTTGATAAGTCTGTGTGTGCAAATGAAGGGCTTCTCTAGTTTTGTTTGAGTGAGAATATGTCTGGCTATTGGTTATATTTGATAGTGGAGTAACTTTGTGCATGTCACTATCAAGTATGCAAAGAAGAGAAATATTTGAAGATGCATCTTTTTTACATATATTTTTGTATTTATTTTTCAATATTATTTAGAGATTCCTTATAAAAGAAAGTGTTGCAAAATTAAAGGGTTTTCATATTTGTGGGGCCACAATTTTTTGATTGGTTGAAATTGAGATGTTTCATTGAGTTGGCTTTATATTTTGGAAAATTAATCTGAAAGTTTTAAGAGGAAAAAATGAGTTGGAATGCACTTTTTTTACAACATGGCATAAATTTTGTAGTCTCTCAAAAATTTTATTGGGTCCATTTCAAGAGGTAGCGTTAAGAAAAAATTGAGAAGTTGTATCAAAAAGTACTACATATAACCACTGGAAAATTAAAACTTAAATTTCATATGTTTGTCATAATTATTAGAATCAAGATAAAAGTTGACATTTTTAGATTTTTAAGAAAAGAATGATATGGTCCGTCTCATGGTTTCTTTTTATTGGACATATTACCAAAGGTCAAGGCTTCTAAAATAGAATTTAATTCACCAAGTCGGAGGCTTTTGTAAAACTTTTGCATTACGGCTTTTTAAAATAAACTTCTAAAAATAAAGACCCTCTGCTATGATTAATAATACAAGAATACATTAAGGTCTTTTAAAGAATCTTTTTAAGTGCTTCATAATTGATTTTAAATATTTAAGTTTATTAGAAGTGCATGAAACACAATTATAAATTTTAACTTTAATTTTTTTAATTATGATTTTAATGTTAAGTTCTAAATATATTTAAAATTTTAATGGATGATGTAATGATTGTGAAGAATTTTATTACCATTTTTTATTATTAATATATATATATATATATATATATATATATATATATACATGTTTTAAATCACTTTTTGATATAACCAAATAAAATCCGTATTGGTGGTCTACAAAAACTATTCTGTATGAATTCTTAAATATTCAAGTATTATAAAAAAGTGTCATCATAATGTGTTAATTTTATTATTAAAACAAATTTAGAAATAAAAAAAGTGTTTTTAATGAAACCATAATTTTCAAAGAAGATAATATTTAATAATTTTAATTTTAACTAATTAACATCAAATAAAGCTTATTTTTAAGAATATTTAACACAGATGAAACTTTACTAAGGTTACCAAATTATAAAAATCCAATACTGCTCCAGAATTAAGTCACATCCAGTGCATCCCATGCTTAAAAATTCAATATCTGTAGCACGCAGATGCTAAGGATTATTTATCTCTTCTCTAAAAACTCACAATCAAATTATCACTTTTGGAAACATTAAAATATTAAAATTGGGTTGAACTTTTTTGATTGAATTTTATTAGTCTCTTACATTTATTTGTTTAGAAATCTATCCTTACACATTTAATTTCGAAATTTTGATAGTCCACAATCATTCAAAAATTAAGAGTACATTTCACACTACTTATTTACATTTATGTGCTTGGTACCTGGAATGCATGAACTCTAAATTGTATTCCTTATGTAGAAAAAATATAATCTCTTCTATGTTGAAGAGTAATAGAAAATTGCTTTCTTCATCACAATGTACTGATAAAAGTTTTAAACTTCAAAACATTAAGGTACTGGTAAATGGTCAATACCGCACCAAATAGTGGTTACAATGTATCAAATTGAAGTCACAATTAATTCACATTTTAATTAGCAATTATAAATTGATTAGGGCTACTACAAAAAATCCCACCCCTCGAATTAATTTTCATAAATATTTTACACTCCAATTTCAACAATATTGGCACGGTGCATCAAATCATTGAAGAGTAGTTAATCACCAAATTCGATTTTAGTAAGATTCCCGTAAGACCCGATTTTAACCTGTAGGGGGTAAAATAATTTACCAGGAAAGTAAGAAATGATCTGCAGATATACCAACTCAGTAATACGGACATTTACGTCCACGCAGCTCATCGAAGTAATGAAAAAGAGCGGGAAAGGAATCGGGCGGTGTGAACGGGGTTCTGTAGAAAAACCAGGCGGAAAACAGGGCGGGGGAAGAAGCAGAAGGGCGAAGCTGAAGAGAAAGCATTGACGCTGAAAGAAGCGCGGTTTGCTATCGTCTCTCTCCCGGTCTCGCTCTCTCTCTTTCTCTCTCGCTCACAGGGCCTGCCTGGCCTGGGCCCCGTCGTGTGCTCTGGCTTGCTTCGCTTCGGTTCCTCCAACAATTGCACGATTCAGTGATTTCCAATTCCACAGACGAATTCCGAGCTCTCGACCAGGTGGTTATGCTCGGGCTGCTGCTGCTTCAGCGTGTTGGAATTGCATTTTTGTCGTGAGTGTTTAGCTTTCTGGTGTGTGTGTGATGAACGCCAGAATATTTGGCTTTAACGGAGTTTTTCAGAGGATTTTGTTTAGTTCATTGTTGAAATCGCAACGGAGGCGAGGGATTAGCAGGCGGTTGGCAAGTTGAAGTGGAATGGGGAGCTCGGAGGCCACCATAGCTGTCGCTGACACCGTTGGATCGCCGGGAGGTGCCTGTGAAGAACTTGCTGGGTCTCTACAAGGTTGGAAACGCAAGGTCCGTCGGATTTCATCCGCTTTCTTCTGTAGGAAAACTTGGAAACCCTGGCTTCTGAATTTTTCGTAGAAGATGTCTAGTTGGAGTAATGTTGATTGCTTAGCTTGCATGTAGATGCTTGTCGTTCATTTTGGTCGTTTTCCTGGCTGAATTCGTTGAGCTCGGATATTATGGAAGATGCCTTTTAATATGAATATTGTCAAGGTTTTGTAAGGAACTGCATATTTTGTATTTTATCACCTTGGTCAAGATTTATCGCGAGTTTTTGTTTTTGAAGTATTTAATTTGGTTATTTGTCCATGGGAGCTGCGTACAACTTCAAACTGTCGTACGCCCTCGACTGTCCGCGCAATTTCCCCACCTTTGCTCTTTTATTTTTAAGTTTTTGACACGAACAAACCCCCTCCCCTCCCCTTCTTTAGATCGTTTGGTGTTCGCTGTGTCTGAAGGCCAGACTACTGTCCTCACGTTGAAGTGGAGCGGAATATAGCATCATTGGTCATTTGAGTGTGAAAACCATATCACACGTGTGAATCAGCTTCGATGAATGGTGATTGATTGATTTTTTAGTATCTACATCGATCCGCGAAGTTTGGATGAAAGTTTTACTTACATTGATGGCATTCTTGCTCTACTGGGTGATTGTTTTCAGCTGTCAGAGACGAGGGGGGGGACCCCAAAGAAGAAGGTTGTGTCATTTTTGACACCAGATGGCGAAGAAATTAGAAACAAAACACAGTTAAATAAGTATCTCAAAGCTCATCCGGGAACGGTCGTTGTTACTGACTTTGATTGGGGCTCCCCAGGTTTGCCTACTCTCACTGTCTTTGCAATCCATTTGGTGTTAGAACTTCGTACACCTTTGATATGTGCGTAAGTTGTGATTTTTCTCCGTTTTCGTGATTAATCCTAATCGTGAGGATAGATCACTACTTATGAACTTTGTAAATTTTTCTATGTGGGGGCCGCTAATACGATGCCTTGTGTTGCTGTGTCATAAAGCTTTCGAGCCTGTGACTCCAAATGTGACAAGAAGATCTGCAAGACTAAGCATGAAGGGCCGTTCCTTGTTTGAAGCAATTGACAAGGAGATGGAACCGAAAACCCCGGTTAAGAAAGCACGCAAAAGTCGTCATAATGGAACAGCAAACAAAGATGAATGTGAGTTTCTTATTGTGTTTTGAAGATTTGAGTCAAATGTTCATAGTTCATTTTTGGTGCATGTTGCCATGTCTACCAAATTTTATTTCAACTTGCTTCGAAGTACTCAATTTCATCATTCTGAGCCACAAGTAAAATGGTGGTCATGTATTCTAACAGCTCTAGCTAAGGGCGAGCCTGCAAACAAGACAGGGCCCGCGGAACCAATGGACATCTCAGAGGATCAATCCCTGCCTGTGACACAGAAGGAAATTATCGAAACTAATGGGAACCATAAAGCTCCTACCGTGGATATACCCAGTGCAGAAGCTCCAGCAGTTGCGGAAACCAAAGAATTGACTGCACGAACCCAGGCTATCAACTCGGAAGCTGAAATAAAGACGGATCTTGAAAATTCTATTGACAAAGCCATGTAAAGAGAAACGAACTGTCTGAGATGTAACGAAGTCCAACATGGGTTCTAACACAGACGAAAGACGATGCACACATGGTTAATGGTGCCCTTGTTGATGATGTGTCCGCGCCTTGACAGAAATAAGTCTCTAAATTTCCAGAAGCAGTTTCTGGACCTGTAACCCAAGCATCGGTGTCCAGTTATGTATCGAATAGGAGGTGGGAATCATGTCATAGTTAGTGCAAGTGTTCATCGTATACAAGTTAACCTTGTAGAGAGACTCCAACTGCAGGTATTTGGGACGGTTTATTTTTGTGTGTGTACTCTTGCCGTTGGCCTACAAGCAAAGAAGCATGTCAAGCCAGCAGGATCTGTCTCTGCAGACGTTGGGATACTCCTGGTATGTTACTGCCATTTGTAGCACGTCGATTTTCTAAACTATGTGAAGAACGTAAGCGAATGTCTCCAAGTAGAGCGTAAAGTAGTTTATACCGCAATTACGAAGTGTTTTAGGAAATCATAACACCTAGTTTTCTCAATCCATACAAAATAAATAAATGTTTGGACCATAATACGTGTCCTTGTTTCTAAGGTTGAGCAGATTGGTCTTTCTTGTTACTTGCTGCAGAGAATTGATCGTAGCTACGCCGAGTCCCATTGTTGGATTTGGCGCTTAGGTAAGTGGGTCTTGCAAAGGGACCACTGATCTGCTAACCGAAATGTGTCTATCTATTTCAAAAGGTATTCATAGGTCCTCACGACGCAAACGGCATGGCATAATACTGACAAGACAAACGTACATCCACATTAGAAATTTAAACATTATGAGCACAAATTATAGACAGCAGGTCCCAGCACACCTCCACCTTTGTAGCAAGCTACCCAGTCGGCAAACTGACAGAGTAGGTATCGCCAACTCTGAAGTTACATATGTTCACCCGTGCCCATCTCCCCCATCAATCCCGCTTTAATTTAAAACTTCTCACACCGTACTCGGAATGACAGGAATGAGCAATTGTACTCTCAACGAACTCTCTCAACAGAGCACTCCCCAAAGACCCGAGTAAATATCACAAATCCGACCAAACTGTCGCTTCACGCCATACCCGTCACAAATAAAACATACTAAGAAGGTACTCAATCCGTCACTTAGAACGAGTTGTAGTTATAACATCGACCACACCCAAACCAACCAAGTATGAGCCCGCGCCAGTCAAACCCACATCACACAGCCACCATCCCAGGCAGCTAAAGTCACAACCAGAACATAACCACCACTAATCCACCACATTGAACTGCTCTCACGCCTACCATGTCACGTTGTTCGATGCCCGTACAATAAACCATACACAACACACACCACACATCATCGTTTCATCCACACCCACCACCACCACAATAATTTGCAAATCCCCTGTTCTCCCATCATCTCCACATCGCACACCACACTCAGCGAGTACAGCTGTTGCAAGGGCTTCCGCACCCTGTTCACGAAGTGCACCGAACTCAAAGTAATACTGCAACCTTCACGGCCAAACAGGTAAACAAAATCACAGTCTGCTGCACAATGCACACCCGCGTTCTACCTACTCTAACTGGACAACCAAAGAACCCTCTAGGTGGTGCCCGCGTCCAAGCGTTATCCCTTCTACCCCATTCTCTACCTTTCCTCCTCCCCCACCCTCCCACCGGGTGGATCCTGTCCCTGCATCTGTACTTCCAGGTTCCCCGCCCCTCGTCACACTCCATTTCTCTACACATCGCGGTTTCGTCCAAGGAGCACCCCATCCTCCTACCACTACCCAGCCCCAAGCTCCAAGTCCAGACCAAACCACAACCACATCCCACACGCCTCTAGAGGGATACCCTCGCGGCTGCCATCTTCTACCATCCGTTCAACGCTCATCCCAGGAACAATCCCCCTCCGCCATTTCACGTGAACTCGGTCTTGGCTCCGCCCTCCACCGCTGCGGCCCGCCGCCTAAGCAACTGCCTCTGGCGCAGCAGCACCAACTTCCACCTTCTCAGCCTTCGTCACTTCTTCGACCCCCTCAGTGGAGCCCTCTGCCATGCCCACCACCGCATCTTTCACCTTCTCACCACCCTCGCCGTTCGACGACTTCTCCGCATCGCCATTGCGCGCTGCTTCTTCCGCCGCCTTGGACTCCTCGCCGTCTTTCATTGACGCCTCTGCAGGAACTTCCGCCGACTTCCCGCCGTTCGACTCTCCCGACTCCACCTTCACGTCCTCCGCTTTCTCGCTCGACCCTTCCGTCGTCGCTTCTACGGTTTTCTCCACGGCAGCGACCTCCTCTCCGGGAACGTCCACGTCCATCGCTTTGGTCTCCTCCTTGTCCTTTCCGTTCTCCTCCACTTTCTCGTCTGCTGCACCATGGGCTCCGTTCTCCGTGCCAGCCTTGACATCTGCCTCCTCGCCCGCGCCTGCTGGTGCACACCACAAACCACATTGTTCAACCCCCGCGGATCCAAATCGGCGTCTACCTCCACCCACCATCATCACACACGCACACTTGGTCACATTCCAATGACACCAATCCCAACCGCCACCCACCGTCCTTCTCGTCCTTTCCGTTCTCACGACTCTTCCTTGACCTCTTCACGGCGGGCCGTTTTATCTCCGCCACCACCTCAATGCCTTCTCCCGAAACACGGCCCTTGGAGCTCAGCCTCGCCGATCTTCTCCGGTTCTCGGGTGGGGTCACAGCATCGCCAGCTTCGCAACCAAACAACACAACCACCGTGTGAGACCCTCTCCTGCATCCGGACCACGTTACCACCCTAGCCCGACTGTCCGACCACCCAGAATCGTCACCGTCGAGGAGAACTCATCAATCACCACCATCCAGACGTTGCCTCACATCACACCCACGTGCTCAGTCTGCAATCCACCAATTGTGCAAATACCACTGCATCCACTCCGCTTGTCCATGCTGCGTGACCACAGCGGGGTGAACTGGCGCCCAACCCCCTACGACGTCCACAATGCTTCCCCAATTTCCCCTCGCACCCACTACCACCTAGGATCGCCACTACCACAACTATCCCCGTGCCCTCGCCGTTCCCCTCGCTGCTGCATTCAATCTTTCTTCCCAAACCCAACCACGCCCACTCATCACGCAACTCCCTGGGACGTCACAAACCTCTCCAAACCAGTTTCTGCACCCATCATCCCCAACACACATACTCAACGTGCGCCCACATTCCCAACGCATACCTGCAACTCCCCATTCGAAGTCCCCCGCAGACAGTGTCCCCGGATGAGCTTTCAGATACTTGTCCAGCTGCCTTTTGGTCTTGATTTCCTCGCCGTCAGGGGCCACAAACGTCACGTCCTTCCTCTTTGGAGTGCCCCCTTTCTTTCCGGACCCCTGACGCCCACCCGCATCATCAACAACACCACGTCAGACCCTCCACAATTGACCAACGCTAACCAAACACCCACCCCGCGGGCCCTTCATCCACGTCCGATTCCAACCCCTCGTCAACGCCTTCCGTCGACGCCTTCCGCCAGTGCATTCGGCACCCAAGCACGCCCTTCATCCTGCCCGGAACGCCTACAGCGTCCGCGTCTCTCGACATCCGCGATGTACACACACAAAACACCACACAAACTGCACGATCGATCCCACACCCGACGTTTTCGAAAGCGTATGCCACCTCTAAATCTATCCCTCTACGACTTCCACCGCAGCGAAGCAGACCTCCCCCGTCACACTTGCGTCCAAGGCTTCGGGTGTGAGTGGTGGAAGGATTTCATCCCCATCCCCCGCACGGTCACGGTCATGCGTTTCCGCGGCCACGGGTGCCATAACGCATGCATCTCGGCCCCACCATCCTACCGTACGCCGGGACCCTCCGAGCCTGCACGTCACAAGGCTTCACGCAAAACATGCGTGGGATGTCGCCCCCACCCATCACTGCTCGAACTCTGAGCGACCACGAAGTGGATGCCTTCTCCGCACCATCTCCCACCTCCGAACGCCGGCACGGCTCGGAGCGACGGCGTGGCCAGCACTGCACAGGATGCCATGCTTCGCGATCTTCTCGAGCTCGGAGCATTTCCCACACCACATGCGACCAGGTCGCCCGTCTGGAGGACATGCTCTCGAACCGTGCCTCCGTAAGAGCGGGTTGCTGGACATCCAGCACCTCGCGTCGGAGTGCATGTGCAGTGTGTCCATGACGTCGGATGGGAGCCCCGTTCGAGCGCCCCAGGCTTGCGACTGCTTAAGGCGCGTTACACCAACGATAGCCGACACGCACCTTTCTATCGTTGCGCACGGCCCTGCTAGCACAACGCCAGACCAGGAAAGCGACGGTCTTCGGAAGGCGACCGAGCCCGCGCATGTCCGGTAATCGACTTCGAAGCGTGTCAAGCGAGGGTTCAAGACGGACCTTGTGAGTCACAGTTACCGTCACGGAAGAGCAAGGCCGAGCACTCGGCTCCGCGACCCACGGAAACCTGACGACCAGGAAAACCCCGCCTGCTCACAAGATAGACACGCACTGCCGTCGGCCATAGTTCGGCATCCAGGACATGGGGGCGCGCCTTCTTGCAAGGATCCGGTCAAACCGGCTCTCAGTCCCGTCGTTGTTGTGCGGAGGCGTTCCTCTCAAACTCAGGAGGACAATATCTCAGATAATGTTTGCACGACTGCACTTGCGATCGCCGTCGCGGATAAACTGCGCGGATGTGCGAACGTATTCACCAACACGAAGACCTGTGTGCTTGGCCGACGACCGTCCCAGGACCAGCACAGGATAAGTTCCAGCGACACGCATGGACACTTCTGCGCTCCCGAGCTGAAGCGCCTCCCCTCACCCAAACCCCCTCACCGGCACTGCACAGCTATCGCATGTCGTTTCACACAGCCTGCGCTGACGACATGAAGGGACCGACAAATTTCGTCAACTGATGAGAGTGCGACATACTACCGCCTCCCGGGGTACGGAACCAAAAAAAACAAGCTCGCGCATCTCGCAAAGAACCATCCAACCGGCTCTCAACCCCGAGCCTTATGACGCACTCACACATCCCGAGGGTCTCACACGAACTTCGGGCGACGTCGGTAGCAAAAACAAAGAGCACCAGCATGGTGCACGGCCCGGTGGGAGCGCTACGAGGCATTCGTCGCCCGAACTACGATTCGCACCATATTCGTCGTCCTCGATGTCATGTCGTAACCGGTAACTATTGGTTAAGACGGAAATCTCGGGACATCCGCAGCGGTGTCTGATCGGCACACATCCCATCAAGAAACCTCAAGCTTCGAAATTTGAGCGCCAAGGAATGCAAGAATCTGCCGAATTGCAGCTTTTCTCGCTTTCACGGGCCATGAAACACCGCCGCGATAATGCTGTCTCGTCACACGCTAGACCCGTCACAACCGACGCAGAATAACGGCTCCGCTCTTTCAGCGGCATCTTCTGGTAAACGTCATACCAGAAGCTCTCGACACTGCACACCATGCACCTCTCCCAACAGCCGCGCCACGATTTATGCGAGCTACGACCACACCGAGCGTCCATGCAGTGAACTCGGGCTTCGAAACGGCAACGAACTTGCAGCTTCTTGATGCCACTCTCGAGACCAGAAAATTGACCGACCCCTCGCTCTCGTCACAAATGAATGCACCCTACCCTAGAGCATCCGATACACGTAACCAAGCGACATCCCGGGCATCCGCGTTTGGAACTATCACCCGCGCTCCCTTCCACTCAGCGCGAACAGCCCGATAGAACATGACTCTCCCACATGTGCATCCCCAGCGACCGACGTGTTCCCCGACATAATCAACGGATTTCACAACCAAGATTCCCACACTCCCTCGCACCAACAACAGAGTTCAGGGTGGGTCTCGCTCCACAGACCTTGCGCTTCCAGCCTTGCAGAGGCCCGGTGAGCTCCTCGAAAGCACTCTCCGGCGTTCCAACGACCTCGGCCGCAGCGCAGTCGGCCTCCGGGCTGCCCATTCCGCCTCACCTCGCCAACCACGCGATCAACGACACACACACAGACACACACACACACACACACACACACACCCGGCGCACCAAACCTCCAGCCGCGTCCACCAGGACCTGCACAAATTACCTCCGCGTCGAAATTCCTCACGCTCTCCACATTTGCCTGAGCGCCAATCCCCGACGTGAAACAACGCACAGCTGGGGTCCAACCACAGCACACAAGCACCCGCCCCGGGTCTAACTACCACAACCACTGCCCTTCACGGGAAGAAAACAGGAAAAATAGGTCCGGTGGAGCAAAGCCAATGGCTGGGGCAGCAAACGAGAATCAAAGACCAGCCACGATAATTGATTGCGCGTGCGACTGCAACAAGCAGCGGAGAGGAGGAGAAAATCTGCATAAGTAGCGATTGTGGAAGGAGAGAAGACGTAGTTGGTTGAAGAGGGGATCCTAGAGGGTCTGGATTCTGGTTTGTTTGGGTGTTCGGAGGTTGGGAAGGAGGGCGGGAGAGAGTCGCTTCGGGCTTGTTAGTGATGTCTAGATACGGAGACTAGAGAAGCTTCGCGGGCACAGGGGTGCCGGGCCCTATCATTGCCAGTAGCGTTCTCCCTTCTTCTGTTCGGTCTACCGCTCTCTATTTTGCCGTGGCTGAGTTTCGGATTTTGCACGGGAGCAAAGCGCCAGTCTGCATAACGGGACACTTGACGTGTTATCACCGTTGGGCCTGCTTGTGTGGGTTATAGCGACGCTATCGTCCATGGTTTCTCTTTTTCCCGCCTTGTTCTTTAGTTCGTTTCACACAGCGCTTCGCAGAATGCGGCTTCTGTTCTTTTTGCGCCCTGCCAACCTGGCGCGGCTTATCTGACGTGGGGCTGACACGCTGGCAGTGAGGATTTTTTGGCTGGATTGTTTGCATAATGGCATTGAGAATCATCTCGAAGACCCTTTGATTGGAGGTCGACACAGAGTTATATGTGAAGCAATAAGTAATATTTCTTCTACGTCATTAAAATTAATTATTTTTAGAACTCGATCATTCTTTTGAAGTATAAAGTACTCTCATTCCTTAATAAATATTTTTTGGGTGTGATTATTTTAATTAAAAAAAATAACTCAAATGTTTTTTTTTTTTTTTTTTTTTTTTAAGTTATAAGTACATTGTTTTTAATAATTTCTAACTCAACTGACTACAACTAGAAAATCTTTTGAAATGTTTTGGTGATAGATTTCAGATTTATTTTTTCTTTCATACAAATTGTATTTACATTTTCTAAAAAATGTATGTAAATTGGAAGGTTAAATAATTAAGTTAATCATTATAAGTACTAAATAATTCAAACATCAAAATTTGATTAGACTTAAAGAAATACAGTAAGAATATGGTAATAACAACTTTTAAAACAATATACCAAATGTTGTTTTCCTAGAAATTCCAAAATTCATAATTAAGAATATATTATTTGAAAAAAAAATCAGAATCAGCTACCCACCAAATTTTAATTATTATATGTATATATACATATATACACATTCACCCAATTACACTAGATTGAATTGTCTTGAAGTAACATATGATATCTTTCATTTTCTTTTCGGTTTTTTTTTTTTTTTTTTTTTTTTTAAGTGGTTCACTATCAATGACATCTTATTAAATAGCAATTTGTTTTTAATTTTTTTAATTGCAGTTAAGATAGTGTTTCAAAAAGAAAATAGACTCAATATATTGTGCATCATATTTGATTGGTACTTTAATTTAAGCAACTTTGAATTTTTTTAAAAAACAGTTAAAATTTTTCCTATCTAATAATTCATAATTCTAAGTTTGCAAAAAAGGTTTATATATTAACAAATTATGGAAAAAAAATAGACTATAACCATGGATTCTTTACTTTAAATTTTTAAATTTTTATTGAATAATTACAATGTAAGTTAATGAATAAAAATGATGTTTTTAAAAAAATTAAATTAAATATTTAGGATATAAATGAAAATTTAATAATTTTGATTACACATAAAATATATGTTTTTAAATTTTAATTGTGTGTGAATCCTTCTAATAGATCTTAATTTATAGATTGATTAAAATACATAATTTAAAATCATCTAGTTATGAAAATGTTAAGATTAGAGAATCTTTTTGAATATTTAAGTATTTATTAAAATTTAGAAGTTTTTATTGGTTACAAAAGTCTTATTAAAAGAAAAATGATAAGAATGGAATTTTAAAAAGTTTCAAAAGTAATTATCTTAGTTGGCTTAGTAATTTTTCTTATTATTAAATATTAATATTTAATTATTAAAACCAATATTTACATTGGCTTTTTATCTTTGTATATTTTTTTTAAATATATATGAATGTTAGTTAGTAGTTAGAAGCTTGAGACTAAAAACTTTCATGTAGAAAATAAAATAAATAGTTCATATAAATTTCTTTGATTATTATAAAACATTACCAAGGTTAGAAAATCTATCCTTAAGTTGAAATTATCATTATAAAAATATTTTAGGGATTTTTAGAATTTATTAAGAATTCTTAAAGAAGATTTAGAGAAGATATCAAGACTTTGGTAAAATTAAATTTTACCACCTTGAGAGCTATTATGAAGAAATAGAGCAAGATTTAAAAGACATGCAAGGCTTTCAATATAATTGAATATTTTTGAATACTATAGTAAAGTCAAAAATACAAAATAAAAGTAGTTCTATTAGTAAAAATCAGGAAAACCACCAACTAGTGTAGTCCTTGTAGGAAGAAAGGTGCACAAGTCACATATGGATTATATGCCAAGGATATGAATCTCAAAGAAAGAAATCCTCAATGCACTCTTTTGATACTAAAAAGAACTAAAAAGTCACTCAAAAATGATATATTACTGAATTAGAATGGCTATTGCCAAAAACAAGAAGACTAGAGAGTCTTGAAACAAGACTAAGGACTAAAAAGGCGTTGACAAGAATGAAGAAGGCTTCACTCTTCCCTCCATATATATTCTTAACTAGGAGTTATGTGGCAATATCCTATAGGACCTCCAAAATATGTTGACTTTATAAGACATGTATCTTAACTTATTATGCAAGTTTTTTATATATGCACTACATAGTTAGGTTGTTCTACAAGCTGCCAATATATAATTGACTTATTGAATAAGTTTCTAACCTATCAATCAACTACATACATATATAAAATCAAAGTAGCATCTATAAAGCTTCTAAAAAGCTTTTTAAAAAGGTATTATGAAATTAACCTACGTTTATCTAATTTTATTTATTTCTATCTAATCATATAAGTATTTTATTAGTGTATCAATGTATATCCGAGACATTATCCCTTCTTTTAAAGACAAGTTCCATGATGAGTGGTCTTCATATATTGAGGAAATCCAAGATGCGATGAATTATATTTGTTACAAACTTTGATCTTTGTTTCGTTCAAAAATAGTTGATAGATTGTCTCAACCATCAATAGTGTCTCATACAAGACCACCATGTTATTTGGTCGTTGTTGAGGCCTTCATAACTTCCTTCAAATAAAACATTTGGAACACCATCAAGAGTTGTTCTTACTTCTAATAAAATTACCAAACATGAGGAGTCTCTTCTAAGGTCATGATACCAAATACGTTATATTTCACCATCTTTTTGAGGAAAGACATATTGTTCTTGAGAATCTTTATTTTAATTTCATTGTCTTGAAGGTTGTGACAATCACAATGTCTTGTCTAGTAAGTCCACAAATAAAAGTTCTTGAGTTGAATTTGCTAGTTATTGGTTTTCCATCTTTTTAGCATCACAAATATACAAAAGCTACAAAGAAAGATAGAAGGTAGAGTGTTATCTTCCCTTGATCTTATTTCTTTTATAGCAAAGATTTGCTATTTTTTTATCTTGATTTTAATAGATGTCGTCGATGAAAAGCTTCAATTCTATTTGCTACATTTGCATATTTTTTTGCTAGCTCCCATGTGTGTTCATTAATATCATATCCATGCTAATGAACAAGATATTCTAATCTATTTTAGCGCCGCCTCAAATCCAAGACTTCTTCTGCTTCAAATTCTTGATTATTATTTACTTCTATAAGAGGAGGTGACATTTATCTTCTTTCTGAGATATTTACTATCTTATATGGCTCAAGAAGAGATACGTAAAATATAGGATAGATCTTCATAGATTCTTGTAGATATAATCAATAAGCAATAAAATTGACTTATTTACTAATAGAAAAAGGCCCAAGCCTACAATAGTCCAATATATTGCAAGGATGAATAGTCTTAATATTACAACAAAGTAATCATACCTTGTCACCCACGTTGAATTATAGTTGTTCCTTGCAATAGGCATCTGCATTAATTTTTCATCATTCTTGAGCTTCTTTTAATTATGCCTTCATTGTTGTATGAAGCTGTGATAAACAATTTGCTAAATCTTTTGCTGCAAGCTTATCAACTTTTGAAAAGTCAAGAGTATGAAATTGTGAATAATAACCATAATTGGCAAAGAAAGATGTTTGTTGAGTGGAAAAATGTACCAAATTATTGTATGCAAACTTTACTAATGATAAAAGAGATGTCCAATCATCTTGATGATAATTGATGGTATATCTTACGTACTGCTTCAAAACTTGATTTACTTATTCTATTTGCTCATCAGTTTGAGGATGAAAAGCCAAAGAGAGCTTAACATCTACCTATAAAATTTTGGAAAGGATTCTCCAAAATCTTGATATAAATTGAGTCCCCCTATTTGATATAATATCTTTGGACAATCTGTAATAGCAATAGATGTTATTAAGAAAAATCTTAGCTATTTATTTATTAGTGATACATTTTGTACATAGTATAAAATGTGCCATCTTGGTAAAAAAATCTACTACTACAAATATAGAATCATATAAATCTGAGATTGAAAGATCTATGATAAAATCTAAAAAAATAAAAGACCATGGTTGTTCTCAAATAGGTAATGGCTGAAGAAGTTCATAAGATCAATGGCAAGGAGTTTTGGAACTTGAATAAATATCTCATGATTATACAAAGTTTTTAATTGCCTTCCACATTTGAGGCCACCAAACATCTCTCAATATTAGTTCCAAAGTCTTATTGTATTGAAAATATCCGGTTGCTAGAAAGTCATGACGAATTTGAAGAATACATAATCGTATTTCATCTTCCAAAATGTATAATTGTCCTTCAAAATAGAGTAGGTTGTTCTTCAACTCAAACTTGGAAGTATCATGAGACTTAAAAAAATTATTCTTGATATCATGAATAAGAAGATCAAAGGACATACTTGATTGAATTTGATCAAGAATTATGTGACCTTGAAATCAAATCTTGATAAGAACATGCTTCAATAAGTTTGGCAACAATTTAAAACACATTGTCGTAATATGTGAAGTCTTGTTTGAGAATGTTCTAAGCACTTGGTTGTGGAAGGTAGGATAGAAATTGCAACAATAAAATCTTAACTCTAATAGAACACTAATTAAACTCTAATTAGACCATAAAAATACT